TTTTAAAAAAATAAAAAAATAATATTTAATTTAAGATAAATTTAATTAAAAAATTAAATTATTTTGAGATGAAATAAATAGTCAATATATGAAATGTACTTCCTATATAATATGTCTGTCTGTAAGCTTGTTATGTTGTTTTGTGGGTCATGTTATGTTAGTTTTCATTTTTGATATTGATATTAAACAAAAAAAAATTTTTTTGATATTGAAGGAAGGTCCGGAGGGGTTAGAAATTTAGAACTTTAACACTTTATGCTAAGAAAATGCCCAAAATGAGGTATAGTTTTGGCAAAAAATGATTTTGTTCAGGTCCCCAAATGACTGGTCTGATTTTGGCTTTCGTGACGAAAATCTGCTTCAGTGATTTTTTTCGTCTTTTCATGCCAATTATTAAATGAGTTTTTCTAAGATGTTCCATTAGTTAAGGTACTTTTTTATTGTAAATATAAATAAAAAAATAAAAATAAACATATAATTTTGGTGTTGTTATTAAGTGAATGAATTTATTTAAATAGTTAATAAATTATTCTTAACCATTACAAGTTAAAAAAAACCCTTATTAAATATGAGAAATTGGGTTTGGGACCGTTACAATTGTGGCTTTAGTGGACAGATTCATGGTCTTGGCCAGAGCATTAATTGGAATTTGGATCTTAAATGCTCTTGGCAGGTTTAGGAAAAAAATTGTTAGCAGGTACGAAGATTTAAGGTATGTAAGTGAACCTTAAAGCGCAATAGCCTCCCTCCTAACAATACTATTTTTAACAGAAAACTTATCATTTAGGCTATTATTGACTGATGTTGTTGGTATTTGGTTTGGTGTAAAACCAGATTCTGTATTAAATTGCATTGAATGTGGAGTTGGATATTCAGTAGATTTGCTTCCCCCATGAATCCTTTTTTTTGCAACCATTTGAAATTGACAGGTATCCTATGTTTTGGATTTCAGGTTCTATGCTTGAGAAGTTGAGATGGTGATTGCCTAGCTTTGATGCGCACTTCTTGATAGCTACTACCGGAAAATCTTGAAGAGAGATGAGGAAGCACCGGTTTAGAGAATCTATGAAATCCTTCTTCGGGAGTCATGTTGATCCAGAAAAGGATGAACAACTTAAAGGAAGTAAAATTGGTAATTTTCTTTGTCACCAGTAACTTTAATTTATGAAAATATATGGATATTATGAATGACACAGTGAATTGCTTAAAGGGATATATATTCAAGTTGTAACATTGCATGTGCTCATTCTAATCTACCCTTGTAGTTTCAGTTGATTGAATTTTGAAATTTTTTTTTGGCTGCAGATATTGAGGAAAAGGTGGGAAAGATTTTAAAGCTTATAAAAAAGGAAGAACCTGAAGTTAGTGATGGGATCTCAACAACAAACGCCAAAACAGAACCTCTAGTCGAGCTAATTGAGGATTTCCACAAACACTACCAGAATCTCTATGCACAATACGATCATCTGACAGGAGAGCTAAGGAAAAAGATTCATGGCAAGAAAGAAAAAGACTCTTCTTCCTCGTCCAGCTCTGACTCAGACTCTGATCATTCTTCGAAGGGACAAGACAATAAGAATGGACAATTGGAAAGTGAATTTCAGAAAACAACAGATGGCATCAAGCAAGAACTTGAAACAGCAAATCAGGAGATTGCTGAGCTTAAGGGGAAGTTGATAGCCACAAACGAAGAAAAAGATGCTTTGAATTCAGAATATCTAACAGCTGTCAGCAAGAGCCAAGAAGCAGAGGAAGTGATCAGAAATCTGAAGCTTGAGGCTGAAAGTTTAGAAACTGAAAACTCAAAACTTCTGGTTGAGAATGGAGAACTGAAGCCCAAGCTGGATGCTGCTGATAAGATTGAAGCCGAAGCAAACCAAAGATTAGAAGCTATGAGCAAAGAAAAGGATAACCTAATCATTGAGAGAGAGACTGCTGTTAGAAGAGTTGAAGAAGGGGAGAGGATCATAGAAGATCTAAGAAGCATGGTTGATCGGCTGAGAGAGGAAAATGTAAATCTTACACAAGAACTGGAAACTGTAAGAGGGGAAGCTGCCGATATGAAGCAGCAGCTGGAATCTGCAGAACATCAGGTTTCAGATTTAAGCAGGAGTCTGAATGCTAACAAGGAAGAGAATGAGTCCCTGAACTTGAAACTTTCAGAAGCTTTAAATGAGATTAAGCTGGCGGATAAGAGAAAAGAAGAACTCATAGCTGAAATAGGCGACTTGGAGGAGAAACTGGGTGGGAAAGACAGGGAAATTTCAACTCTCACGGATATGCATGTGGCTCACGGGAATCAGTCATCAGCTCGGATAAAAGAATTAGAGGCACAAGTGAAGGGACTGGAACTCGAGTTGGAATCATCTCAAGCACATAATAGAGATGTGGAAGTGCAGATTGAGAACAAGGCAACTGAAGTAAAGCAGCTGGGAGAGGAAAATGCAGCATTACAAGCCCAGATTTTGGAGCTTGAAATGATGTCAGAAAAGAGAAAAAATGAGCTTTCAGCTTTTGCAAAGAAACTAGAGGATAATGAGAATGTATCATTGTCCAGAATAGAGAATTTGAATGAGCAGGTAAACAATCTGCTTGCAGACATGAAGGCTTTGCAATCTCAGAAAGCTGAGTTGGAGGAACAAATAGTGTTCAAAAGTGATGAAGCATCAAGCCAGGTAAAGGGCTTATTGGACCAGGTAAATGCATTGCAGCAGGAA